AACAACAGAATTTGAGAGCAAACAACAGAATTTTAGAACAAACAATGGAATTTGAATGAAAACAACGGAATTTGAATGAAATGAACGGAATTAGAATGAAATGAATAGAATTTGAATGAAAACAACGGAATTTGAATGAACAGACCAGAATTTGAATCAAAACAATGGAATTAGAATGAAAAGAAAAGAATTTGAATGAAAATGACAGAATTTGAATGAAAAGAACAGAATTTGATCAAAAACAAAAGAATTTGAATGAAAACAACAGAATTAGAACGAAAACAACGGAATTTGAATGAAAACAACAGAATTTGACTGAAAACAATGGAAGTTTAAAACAAACAACAGAATTAGAATGAAAACTTCGGAATTAAAATGTAAACGATGGAATTTGAATGAAAACAACAGAATTTGAGAACAAACAATGGAATTTGAATGAAAACAATGGAATTTGAATGAAAACAACAGCATTTGAATGAAAACAACGGAATTTCAATGAAATGAACGGAATTAGAATGAAATGAATAGAATTTGAATGAAAACAACGGAATTAGAATGAAAACAATGGAATTAAAGGCAAAGGAGCTAAAACAGCTTGTTTCAGAAAATGGACAAACTGAATGTGAATGATATATAGGTGAGAAAAATATAAGAACTTGAAATGATTGCAATGGGTTCCCTGTAGTCTTTTAGCTCCATTTTTGGTCTCCTCCAACTCGTTTAGGAAAATTCATGTGGCTTTTTAGATGCTTAATGATACACTGTGTTCAACAGCTGTTTTGTGTGTGTGCTGTTGGACTCAGATCTTGTACGATGTGTTTCCAGAGCACTTTTACTGCCTGCTATGGCAGAAAAAGACCAGCTCTTTAAGCAGTGAGCGTTTGGAGGAACAGTGAATTTGTGAGGTAAAAGTCAATAAGGCTCTGCTGCACATTTATCTTTTATTATCAATGGATATATGTTTTAGTATATAAACATTAATTATAGCTATTCTAACTCTGTGTATTTTGCACTATTCACCGCCTTTTATGCTCTAAATTCACTGGAAAGACCATTAAAGAGGATGTTGAGGAAGGAGGTAGGCACAAGTACCTGCATTTATTCACAAACATGCACTGTCAGAGCCAAAATGACAGATTTTAGTTGGTCTAACATTTATCTGTGCACAGACACACCCTTGAGAGTATCAGCCCTTGCTGTCAAAAGAGCTGACAAATGATTCTGTCTGACCAGCAGCAGAAAAAAGCCCATCATTTCACACTGTAGGGCTGATGCTGTTTTAACAGTTTGTATTCCTGTGGAACCAAAAAACACACTCAGTGAGCAGGAATAATGTCAAAAACACACAAAATCTGGAAACCGTCAGGAAACAGAACTATTCTATTGTTCTCCATTCTTGCCTGAAAGGATTTTTTCCTGGAAATCATTTCCATATGTTACCCTGAAAACTGTGAATAGAGCAATGGTAAAGGGTGACAGTGTGATGCCCTCCCTGGTTTGTTTGCCAGTTTTGCAACTATATTTTCCTTTTGCAGGAAAATGGTGAATGGTTAAGTATAAGTTTTTGCAAGCTGTACCTTATAAAGGAGCAACTCTTGAGGTTTTTGCAGGTTTAATGTGATACAGTTAATTCCCCTGGTGTCCCAGTTGAATGAAGCTGGAAGCAGACAATTTCTTAGCTCATTTCCATTTACCGGTTTCTGCTTTGTTTTGATCTTCTGCTATTCATCTGTCTCAATGCTTGAGTGATGCTCAACATTTTTGTTTTTATTTTATGTGTTGGTTTCACAGTTTTAATTTCTGTCTGTCTTTCTCTCCGCTCCCATCTCTTCTCAATCCTCCCCCCTTTTTCTAGTTTATGCTCGGGCGGTTTATACTGCTGCAGAGGCAGGCAGAAGTCTGATTTGTGTGCACTTTGAGTGTCTTTGTGACTGGGGTTTATCTGTTCATGTGCATATGTGTGTTTGTGCATGTGTCCGGTGTGTTTGCAGTGCTTTCTCTACTCTGCTTGGCTCTCTAATCTGTTTTGGTTCTGTCTGGTGAGCCGGACACAAAGCCAATTACCTTTTAAAGGGCAAATCTGAGCCAAATGAGCTGAACTGAGCTACAGAGGTAACTGGCTTAATAAAGCTCCCTGTCCCTATCTCATGCAAAATCTCACAGTATTTGCCGGGCTTCAAAAATTCAGCATGTGAAAATCACACGTCACACATTCTGTACTGTCCACGTAAATATAAAATACATTTGTACAAAAAAAACTTGGCTGGATTCACAAGACTGGTATAATTTCATTTTCTGAAGCAGATTCGATCAACTGGTTTGACTTCCCAAAGGCCACGGCAGTATTGTCAAACATTTACAGTGCAACATCCACAGATAATTAATTTGTAATGAAAGAAATGTCAGATTTCTGCATACCAGGCAGTTTTATTTCCTCACAAATGATTTGCTGTCAGCAGAAAACAGCAGGGCAGCTTCTTTTACAGCAAGGGGAGGATCAGTTAAAGTGTCAAGGCTGGCTATTATGTGCTACTGCGGTCTAAAAACTGAAAGTTAAAAACAAAAATAAACAAACTGTTTGTGTTGCAGAGCAATGAGGGAATAAAATAATAACAGAATGCCCAATCCATACAATACAACAAATAAAAGAGTGATAAATTAAAGATGCCCAATTTGACCTTCTAAAGGTCATAAAAGCGCTATCAAAATCTGCACAGTCCAACATCCACAGATAACCTATTTGGAATCAACTGAAATCAGCAAATCATCTTAATTGAGAAACTGGAGACTGTTTTTGTTGATATCCGTTAATAAATCAGTTTGTTTAGAAATCAATTTTTATCAATCAGAAAAAAAGCCTCATCATAACAGCTTCTCTATGCTTTGTCTGACTTGTTGTTTCCTTGTTTTCATTTTTCTCTTCGCTTTTTCTCAAACCTCCATGTCGGATTTCTGCAAACCCGGCAGTTTTATTTCCTCACAAATGATTTGCTGTCAGCAGAAAGCAGCAGGACGGCTTCTTTTAAAGGCGTGGGAGGAGACAGGGATCGGTTAAAGGTTCAAGGCTGGCCAATATGTGCTACTGTTTGTGCTACAAAAAAATTGAAAGAAAAAATAAACAAACTGATAATCTTTAAGAGGACTGAAGGAATAAATAACACAATGCCTCATTTTAATCATTTAAGTGTGAGAAATTGTGCTCACATTTGCTTATAAATGACAGCTCTACTTTACCACCTCATACTGTGCAAAGATGAAGCGAAAACACTCAGATAAAAACAGACGAACCTAATGCAGTTTGCTGTGCAGCACGCAGGGAGACTACAGGGCCGACCTTTAAAATCTACAGATGAAAAACGAGCTGACCTTACAGCTCCTCTCCTCCTTAAATTTGTTATCTTACACTCTAAATCTTTTACATTTTTCTTGTGTTTATTTTTTTTTCATGGCTCTGTGACTGTCACCAAAGCTGTAAGTCACAGTGCAGTCTGGGATTTGTAGTCTGCTGCGCAAATTTCAAGCAGCAGGAGACCTGTAGCAGTCGCTAATGAAAACCACAATCCATAGCCAAGAAAATAATTGTTTCCAGGGCCCACATAACAAGTTTCCTCTGGGGTTTTTTTTCTGAAAAGTGACGTTGTTAAAATACAAAAGCAACTCGAGGAAAACATTTTTCTCTTTGCTCTACATGACTGGCCTTTTGAGGTAATGCATTTGCAATGTGAATCAGAAATACAGCTCCATTCATCTTTCATCCTTACATGTCCCTGTATGACCTTTTCAAACATGAAAAATGCCAGATCATTGAGTATAAAAACAAGCCTGCATTCCATTAATTCCCATTAAGCTATTCATGACTTTCATCCGCAGATCTGTGTTTTTGGAGCTGACCGAGGCATAGACCATGTAATCACAGGAGCACAGAAATGAAAAGCAACATATGAAAACGTTGCATACCCACACTTGGGGACACATCCTCACTTACCATATTCTTCTCCATCTGATTTGTGCATTGCGATCCTCTCCATGCATTTATCATGTTCACGCTTTATTACGCAGTGCTCAGACTCGGAGGCCACCTAAAGAAAACACACAAGCGCACACACTGATGTGGGGAGACTCGGGAAATATAGTCCACATCAGATGCATTTGACTAGAAACACTCTTTTTGCTTGTTTGCTTTTGGTGTGGGTGCTCTGCAGAAGACCATGTCGTCCACTTGCTCACTGTGAATTATCAGGATAATGACCTGTGCTATTCTCATACGGGTGCAATTGGGTTTCTGCTAGCGAGGTGGCAGGATAAAAAACATGTACTGGATGGCTGTGCTGGACATTTGCATTCTCAAGCGCAACTCTAACCCGATCAAAGAGATGTTGCTTGACTGTTATAATAAGATCTATTGTAATAAAACATCCTCTTGTCTCTTATCCATTTTGAGTATCCATTGAGTTACTAACTAAATTTGGGAATAATCTTCTAACACAACCAGGGATTGGGACAGTGGTTCCAAAATTACGGTCCTTCAGACATCCTCTGCTAACTACTAAAACCAAAGCCCATTAAAAGGGCACACAAAAGCCACCACAGTGGAGTAAACAAGATATCATCTTCCTCCATGATGCAGTGAGGAAAGCTATTTACTCTCAGGCAGTAGACTTACAGTATGTCTGTCATCTTCTCTGTTGATGTACCCCCGCACTCTCCCTTAAGGCCAATCTCTATTTTGCACCTTTAGCTTTCTTGCAACCCTTCCTTTGCTCTCATGGTGAAATGATAGGTGTAATATATCCCAGCCCTCCGAGCCATGGCTGACTCATCACTCTATCTCCCTCCTCTTCGATATGAATTCACTTCAGGCATCGGTATTGAGATAAGATGGGTCATCAGCTGACTGTAAAGATGTCCTAGGACTCACTTCCTTCCTTTATCTTTCAGCACAAGAGCAGAATTTTGAAACACTCCAGGAATAATGTGAAAAATTATTAGAGCTATCCATTCTCTGGCACATTACCATTTAAAGGGCAACAGTTGTTAAATGCAAATAATTTCGCCACTTCTCTGTGATGGC